TGGATATTAACCCTTCGCGGTCGAGCGGCGACTCTGAGACACCGTTCGAAATTGTTGCACCGTGTTTAAAAATAGTCGTTGAACCATTTTCAAATTTTTAAAAAATTGTTTCAATACTGTTGAAAGCGTAATTGTTGCACCAGTCACAACATTCAATTTCATATGCACAAAATGCATCAGGTTATGCAGGGCGTACATCCTAAAGGTCGCACCGATTTTTGAGGCATTTGAACTAATCCGACAAAAGAAATGTTTGGAATAAAAGTGAACGAGCGCTTCGAGGAGAACAAAGCGCGATGATAAAAATTTCGAGAAAACTTTTCATTCAAAGTTTATGCAAAATAGAAATTGTCTGCACGAATTGCAAGAAATAGAGACTGTAACAGCAGGTTCATTCTTTCATTAATCCTTTCAATGAATTGCTGATAAAAGATTGGCATTTTTCAATTCCTTCGATCTTTACAATAACGACGCAATTATTGACACAATCGTAACTACCAACAGGTTATCTGTATTTAGTAAATTACGTTAAGTCTTCGTAACGAGTTTGTCGCGTAACGCGATAGAGAAAGGGGTTAACTGTAATGGATCCGAGGGAACTTTTGCGCTGTGTCCAGAACGGAAGGACGTTCCGTTTTCAGGCTGGAAAGAACGCTCGCGACTTTCGCACTGTTAAATGCGGGGAACAAAAAGAGTGGCATTATAAAAGAAGAAGAAGAAGAAGGCCGGGGCAAAACGTTGAGACTAAGAGGAAAAGAAGTTGAAACATCGGGGCGCCTTCTTGGGCGCAGCGGTCGCCGATGAATTCATTAAAAAGTTCCGCAGGAGTTTTGTATCGGTGTCCGCAACTTTTGTAAAATCCTCGAGCACTAATGTTCTCGCGGAGGAAAGAGAGAAAGAAAGAGGGAGAGAGCGAGAGAGAGACAGAGAGAACGAGAGAGAAATAGAGAGAGAGAGAGAAGAGAGAACGAGAGAGAAATAGGGAGAGAGAGAGAGAGAAATAGAGAGAGAGAGAAGAGAGAGGCAGAGAGAACGAGAGAGAAATAGAGAGAGAGAAGAGAGAGAGGCAGAGAGAACGAGAGAGAAATAGAGAGAGAGAGAGAGAGAAGAGAGAGAGAGGCAGAGAGAGAGAGAAATAGAGGGAGAGAGAGAGAGAGAGAGAGAACGAGAGAAAAGAAATGAGAGAGAGAGAGAGAGAGAGAGAGAGAGAATGGGCGAGGAGCGATCGAGGTCAACGATCCAAGAGAAAACAAGCGGTGGGCGTATCGCGTAACTCAATCGCGGAGAGACACTCGAACGAGGAAATCGCGAGCTTTTTCTTTTCGCTCGGTCTTCTTTTCTTGTTCAGTCTGGCGTCCGTCGGCCAGCCACTTTCTCCCGGTGCGATTTCGTGCCGGCGACGCGCACAATTTTCGAGCGATCGCCGGAACGATCGGCGGCGGCCGGCGCGAGAGGATCGCGACATAGCCGAAGCAATTAAAAGGATAACGCGCGCCGGGATATCGACAGGGGCGGTATTCGGGATTCTGTCTCATTAACCGGACCCGTAAGTGTTGTCGGGAAAATTCGGTTCCACGGACACGGCGAAAGGAGAAGCGATCCTGCCCGACAATTCCGCGACGTTCTTCTCGTGTTATCGTTAATCGTGTTTTGATTCTTCTCTCTGCAATTCCACGGATTTATTCGTGCAACGAGATTCTAGTCTTTTCACTGTTTTATGGTGCCTTTGTTCGATTTTGACGCAAATACAGAATCTATTTATTCGTTAATAATGATTAACGAATGCAGAATCTATTTATTCATTATTAATTATCATTGTTTAGAATTATTGGAATTATTTATCATAATTTGGAATCTAGTTATCGATTTTTAATGTGAATATTCATTGCAATGGATTTTTAGTGTAAAGTTTGAGTTCAATTGGATTTAAGTAGGGGTAAGTTTAATTATAACGGCTTCCGGCGGGAGTTTAAATTGCAACAGATTTTTAACATTTCAGATTGCAATAGGTTTTAATAGATATTTTAACCACCGTGTATTATTCAACGTAAATTCAGGACGTGATACATCCTTTATACAGTTCCATGCAATCTTTTCGAGGTAATTGCAGAAACGTTGCTGTTTCTCAAGATACGTGCATCAGTGACGTAAGGTCGATGCTATTAAACAATAACTTCGCGAGTGTAAGAGAAAGCGTACTCTACGTGCGAGAATGCTGCAATTTGGATCCCAGCAGATATTCCTCGTCTCGATTACGGAAGATTTCGACGACTTTCCTCGTCCCATCGAGAGAGCGAGTCGCGTTTCAAACAACCCGATCATATTTCCGCGATCGAAAAGAAGCCGATACAAAATCCGCTAATTATGGCCGCGAGAAAATTGATTTTTCGGGTAAAATATCAGCCGGGATTCTACGATCCCCGGATGACGGCGCGTCTCCGAAAGACTCTCGACGTCCACAGGGTGTCCCAAAAATGTCTCGCAATCCGAAAGCGGCGCGTTCCTCGGGTCATTCGAAGCAACTTTTTCCTTTACAAAAATGTTCTCCGAGACACTGTTAACGAGTTATTAACGAAAAACCGTGACCAATGAGAGGCGAGCTCGGCTGGCGCGAGGCGACCGAGCCAATGAGCGGAACTGGGCTTCGTGCGCTGGTTGGCTGGGCCGCGTCGCGTCGGCCGTACTCGATTCTTATTGGTCACTGTTTTTCGTTGATAACTCGTTAACGGTGCCTCGGAGAATATTTTTGCAAAGGAACAAGTTGCTCCAAATGATCCGAGTAACCCGCCATTTCCGGATTGCGAGACATTTTCGGGACACCCGGTAGAAAAAGCTGCCTCGCGAATTTCGGAAGGCCCGGGGCGCTGGTGTTCCTCGCTCGAAGGGAAATATGAGATCCGCGCGAGCTGCTGCACCGAAACTCCGTTCCCTTTTTTCCTGCAGTCAACGTCATCGTCGCCGCGCGTCTTCATCGTCGCCGTCTTCGTCTTCGTCGTCGTCGTAGCCGTCGGGGAAGGGAAAGTTTCGAAACGCCGCCGCCACCGCCGCCTCCAGGTGATAGGGAACTGGATCCGAGTGATTGATAACGACGATCCTCTTCGTATCGCGGTGCCCGACGTGAAATATGAGCCGGCTCGAATAAAATTCCCGCCTGTTACCATGGGAAGGCCTCGTTCGCCTACGACTTCAACGCCCCGAAACTGCCTAACGAACTTTAAAGGTCTTCCGCGACCGCTGCCACTGGTGAAACCCCGTTCAACGCTTCCTGTTCGTTCAAGACACGACGAACAACTTGATTGGCTCCGGGCACGTTTCGCCGCGGGATTTTTCCAGCGGAGGACCGTGGACTGGAAAAGAACCGGGCAGCGCGTGCGTTCGAGGATGATCTCTGAAGCATTTTTTTTTGTTTTGATTTGTTTCGTGTCGCGTTTGCATAAGCAGCAATTAGGGGACCACTTGTGGCATTACGAGCTGTAGGGTTACACGTGGCTGTAATGTATACGGTGGATTGTATATTATGTTATGTACTGTGAACGCTCTCTGGCTTCAACGTTATCGTCTTAATCTCGGTTCCTTGTGTTACTGTAATTGAATGTAATATAATTGAATGTAATATAATATAATTAAAATTAATTCGATTTAATTTAATCTAATTTAATTTCATTCAATTTAATTTCATCTTATTTAATTTAAGTTAAATTAATTTCGTTAAGCAATTTGCATTTAAGCATATTCTTCCGATATAATGAACGTCCTGAATAGGACGCAACTTTTGCTCGTGTTTGTAAGCTGTCTAAGGATTCTTTCACGGTATTGGACATTTTAACATTTTTTTTTCTGATATTGTTCTGCCACAGATAATCTATTAGAAGGTGCTTAATCGTAAGCTCAAGTTATTACAAGTAATTACAAAATGGTTCATCAGTTTTCAAGAGCAAATACTGCTGATTTATTTTAACATATCCTATCCTTTTTAAATTCTAGTCACAGTCTCAGATAAGAAAGCTAAAAAAAACTCTAGTTTCTTAATTTCACATCGTCGTTCCAAGGAATAGAAAAATTTAAAAAGAAGCATTTCAGTCATTGTCTAGTAGACTCACCCCTCTGTCATCTAATAACAATTCAAGTCATCTGGTCCAGGTTGATAAAAGTTACTATAATTATTCAATATTAATTGCACGTTAGTTAATAATATCCTTGTACCATGTCCATTTCCCATTGCACGTATTTTACACGATTACCTCTGCCTTACAACATATTGTGTTGTATATTATGTTATGTATATATTGTTATATTATTATGTATTATATTATTATATATTATATATTATATATTATATTATTATATTATTATATATTATATATTATATTATTATATTATTATATATTATATATTATATTATTATATTATTATATATTATATATTATATTATTATGTATATTATGTTATGTATTGCCTTACAACATTAAAATGACGCCCCACTTCGACACGAACACGAAGCGTCATCCGAGTGCAAAGGGTTGATAATAATACTAATTCCACCATACGCCAATGCATAACCTCGACCGTGTCCGTACGAATGCAACGGCAGAGTGCGAGAGCCTGCCTCGATAGGTCCCCTACGGTCCCCCGGGGGACCGACGGCGCTTAATTGTTCTTAAACACGGTCTGCTCGTGGAATTCGTGCCCCGGCGAGAAACGCGGGGGATAGAAAAGAGTTAATTAGACGGTGATCTCGGAATCGAGTATAAAGCCACGTTGACGGGAACGCGGGGACACAGTCGTGGCCGCAACGTTGCACGCGACGCACGTGCGTCGATTCGACGACTTCGCGATCGACCGAGCTTTTATTCATTGTCTCCCGCCGTTGCTGTTCGCCAAAAAATAAAAACAACCACGAACAAAAGTAAACACGGATTCGGTGCGCGTCCCGTTCCCGCCACCCTCCTCCCTCATCCGGCAGCGGATTTATTGACACCGGTATTTTTCTGTTTGTATAGACCGCCGTGCTCGTTAATGGCTGCCAGGGTCACCGGCTAGAGGCTGTTTAGCGAAGTTTCGTGCTGCTGGTGCGATAACACAGCCCGTAACCGATGAGTGTAAGTACAACTCGTTTGCGGTAATTTTTAACGCGGCCTCGGCCCGCCCGAGCGAGCCGTTTGTCTCTCCGTTCAGGATTATTCGACGATGCTCTCCGGGATGCCAGCCGCCCAGATTCGCGAGCTCGTCGCGTTCCGCTTCGAACAGTGCCGCAGATTACAGCACAGATTATCTCATCTGTGCACGCTCCGACAATTCGCCGTTTCTGGCGATCGGGCTGCCGAGACTTTTTACGCGAATTCGAGCAACTCGGAGATTACTCGTGGGACCTCGTCTCGGGACGTTCGAGGCTTCTCTCGCGGATCGAATCGAGTATTTAACCAGTTAGCTGTGTCTTCCCCTTTTTTTGGGATCCAGTTAAATTTTATAAAGTTTCATTTTGCACAAAAATCCGCTAGTTATTACAGTTAACCGCAGTTAGCCGGGGCGCGTTCTTTTAAAAACATGGCCTCGAATTTAAATCGTCGCAGGGGCGAGGATGCGCAGGAGTTGAAATCCAATAATGCTGTTTTAAAGCGGAGATTTCAAGGTTCAATTTGAAAGAAAAGTCATCGTCCTACGATGATTTTTCGCCGAGTTATCGACGGTCAAAGTTGACCGATTATATCGAAAACTTTGTCCACGATGAATACAGAAATTTCTCCCTAATTCGCGCCGTGATTGCGCACCGAAATGGGGACGATTTGGGGAGAGGAGATTCGTTTGTTCGAGCCTTGCGGTTCGTTTTTATAGTTGAAGATCGTCACCAACTATAAAAATGAGACTTAGGGAAAAATTACTGTGTACTCGATCGTGGACAAAGTTATCGATAATAATTGGTCAACTTTGACCGGCGATAACTCGGCGAAAAATCATCGTAGGACGACGACTTTTCTTTCAAATTAAAGCTTGAAATCTCTGCTTTAAGACAGTATTACTGGATTTTAAGTTTTAAGCAACCTCGCCACTGTGACGATTTAAATTTGAGGCCGTGTTTTTGGTATATTTCGTCTCTTCCCAAATTGTCGATTTTTTTGCGCAATCTGTGAGCGCGAATTAGAGAAAAATTACTGTACTCTCGCGGAGGTCTCCGAACGCATGTAATTAATCCTCTGTCGATTTCCTCGGAAATTGTTAATATTTCGAGAATCTCGATGAGAAATTGATTTCTAAAGGCTTTCGTCGCGTTTTTTACGGTCGTCCGTGACATTTCCGTGGGACGAGTCGCGGTTAACTGGCTTAACATCGTCGGGAAATCGGTCACCGTGTGTGTGCGTGACGCGGAAAACCGAGGGACGACCGATCGGTTCGGTCAACGAGGCTGGCGCGTTTCCCGCGGTCGGACGCGTGTTTTTCCGTGATCGACGGAAACGCGTTCGGGAAACCCGGGCTCTCGTGTCTTTTCTCGCGAGCCGAGTTACCCCGGATCGAATTAAACCGAGCCGTCGAATTAAGTCCAATAAAACCGGCCGTCGCGTCGACTCGGTTCTGCGTCCGTGGCACGCTCATTTGGACGCCGCTGTTAAACGATCGGATTCGGCAGGGAAATTAATTAGAGCTCTCGAGCGGGGTCCCGCGTCGGATCGGACACCGCCACGCGGCATCTTTCGACGATCCGGGCGAACACGGATTCGAGATTCTCGGTAAATAGAGATTCTAAACATTCCTTCTCGAGCCTCTTGTCAAGCATCTGCAAATGATTTTAGTTCTTTGGATTTTTATGGCGATGTAAAATGGCTGTGTCAAGGTTTTTTTTTAATCTGGGGATAATTCAATGTATCAATGTTATTTATTAATATAATTCAATATTATTATTAATTATTATTATTATATATATATTATTATATTATTATATATATTATATATTATATTTTATTATTATTATTAGTATTAATATTCACGTAATAGAACGGTTGCCGAATTAAAGTGCTAGATTACATTTTTATTGAGACCCACGGTAAATCATTTTGCATACGTTTTACTTCGGACTGGGTCGATTAAACGCGAAACCTATTCGGACAACGGAGAATTCTAATATTGGAGGCATTTTACATTCGTAGATATTGTGTCGCTGCCATTTGCATACATATTGTATCGCAGCCGTTTACGTGGAACGGCAAATTTGTGTTGAAAAAATTTGTTCAATGGACCTTCGTAACGAGGAAGCGATAAAATTATTTACTCAAATTATTAGAGTCGTTTGCACGGAACTGCAACATTCTGTCACGATGCTTCCTGCGGTGTACATATTTTTACAACGAAAACGAGAGAAACGTATACGCTTTGCGGTTAAATTGTTACAGCCGTGTTCGCACGGAGCTGCAGCTTTGCATTCGAGAACAATTTTTGTATCGAGGATGCGGAAAATAGCGAGCGACGAAGTTATTACGCAGCCGTTCGTATAATAAGTTCGCGAGTTTTCCTCGAGGCGATCGATTTTGAACCAAATCGATTTTTATACTATTCGCTGAATGCACATTTCGCAACATTACCCGTTACAAGGCCGGAGGATACACTTTTACTCGCTTCGACTTGAATAATTTGATAAACCGCAGATACAAGAAGCACGCTTCCTCGAGATGCATTCGCGTGGAACAATTGAAAGGCAAGGCGGAAGCTTTTCCGCGTATCTGATGTAATTACCAGCGATTTATTCTAAACCGTCGCCGCGATAAGAATATTCAACGAAATATGCGTCATCCTTATCGACGGCCTTGCGGCATTTTTAGTAACGTTAACCGGTGCTTATTTTCGGCCGAATTGGGATCGAAGCGTTTCAAGAATTTAGTGGAAGGAGAACGACGTCGATTCCGGTTTAAATCGTTAATTTCGTCGAAAGATCGTTCCGTTATTCGCAGATACGCTAATTTCACCGTTAAATAACGCTGCGACAACGCGTTTTTATTAGGGTTGGCAAGTATGAAACCGAGCAAAAACGAGAGCTTCTCCGACGGTGGCGAACTTGCAAAAATAAGTCGCGGCGCGGAATGGAAGAAAATTTATTTCGTCGGAGACCTTTCGCTCGGAAAAAGTCTCGAGACTCGCGAAGTAAAAGTAGAAGTAGAAGCGGTAAGCCATGGGCAGAGAGGAGTTCCGATTGCTACTCGATAGCTCGCAATTTAAACTCTCCTTTCTGCAAAACGAACTACATTTACCCCGTTCTTGTCCAATTTAGTTTTTCCAAGCGCGGCCAATCGGCGGACCGCGAGCCAACGCGGAGAAATAGAAACTCGTGGCGCGACGATTCGATGTCGGCACAGCCGTACGTTTCGATATTAAAATATGTTGCTAGATCGCAAATTTCCACGCCTTTGTGTTGAACGCGAGAAGCGCGTTTATTTAAAGTGCTTACACGATTGGCCGACAGTTGCGTCGTTTTCATTCGCAAATATTAAAATGTTGCGATCATCCGCGCGTGCAGGAGGGTAATTTAAGAGTAACAAGCAGACACTGAACGTCGTTCGTCGTTCATTTCGTTCGATGAGAACGCGAACGTGCGACGAACGAGAAACGCGATCCGACGAAATCGATGCAATTCTAGCTTCAATATTACCTCCTTTGATCTTTATGAAAAGTTTCATGTGCTATGATTTTTATGTTATTTACGATACGAAATGTTGCACAATATCAGATATTTTTCCACGTTCTCGGTTCGCTGCTTAAGATATTGAAATCGTAAAGTCTTTCGTTCGAATTTCTCTGCAAACTATCCAGAAAAATTCACAGTTCGATGATTATTTAAAGCGGGGCTCGGAATTAATGGCACGCGGCGCATGAATCGCCGAGGGCCGCGCCTCTTTGGCTGGTGTTTTCAGGAGAATAAGTCACGCGAGGAGTGGAGGCAAGCGACGCGAAAGGTTATGTCAAGGTTTTATCGAGGTTACTAACTATAATTACTGAACTATAATTCTAATTAATATTAATACTTAATAATATTAATACTATAATATATTACTACTATATAATATACTACTACTATACTACTATAATATTAATTAATACTAATTAATATTAATACTTAACTATAATCCTATAATTCTACGATCGCGACGCGACTGCGATCGCCACGCCGCTGTGAGCGAGACTCCCGGCGCATGCGTCGCTTATCCCCACTCCTCGCGCAACATATTTCGGAGCACATTAACTCGGAGCACCTCGGCCGCGTACCGCGGTCAAACTATACGATCACTTAGGCGACCGCGGGGAGCGAGACGCGGGACGGGAGCCAGAAGGCGTGGCCGGAGCGGCTCGAATGCGACGTGCCGGGCAATTCCGAGGCCCGACTCGGAGCGACACCGAAGCGACCGTCAGAGATCTCGAAACGGTCGATACGTAATCGGGGACGCGCGTAAAAAAGGCGCGCGAGAAAGAATCGATAGGGAAGAGGTTGGATAACGGCGGCCGGTGTGCTGCAGTTATCACTTTTATTTACGATGATCGCGACGATAATCGGGCCAGTCTTAACCGGACGCTTATCTTCGGACAGGTTAGATCGACGGCCGGCCACATGGTGAAGCAGAGGAGGTTCATCGGCAACACTAACAACAAGATGATCAACATACGAGAATATTTATAGGCGGTTTTAGGCGTGCGACAAAGTAAACACGCTCTGAACGGGATCGATAGCGATCTGCATGTCGTTGGACATCACGGAGAAGGAAGATCGAGGAACCGAGGAAACCACCACCGCGGCCACGTACATCGATAATATCGTTCGAAGTGAATCGGTTCGAATCGTCGACGTCGTGTGGTGAATTTGGTGGATTCGACGATCCAGGAGGATCCAGGAGGATCGAGCGGCGCGTGTCACGCGGCCGTACAGCTATGGTCAGACCGTCACCTGGTTTCCTGTTTTACGTAACAAGCCGGGAACGCTTGATTTTCTCGCGCAGGTGAGTGCCTGGAACGTCGATCGATCGATCGATCGATCGATCACGTCGAAAATCACTCGTTTCCTCTCGAATCGTTGCGCCACGATCGAGCGAAGTTCTTTTTATTCGCGACGATCTCTCGGAACTTGCGAACGTGGCGGCGCGAAAAAACGTGGTTTCGCGAGCTTCGTGTTTTCGTCGATTCGTCGTTCGGGGCACGGGGTTCGATTCGCGACAGTGGATCGCCGGAAACAATTTACGATGTTATTCGGGCGACTTCGAGAATTTTTGCCGGGATAATCTTGTCAACGGGTTGATGGAGGACCGGTATAGGTCGGCTCCGCCGACTGATCCGCCGTTTCTCTGTCAAACCCGATCTGTTTTCGCAGCTCGCCGACGACCCACGCGCTATCTTTATATAGCGGGGCTTGAAAAATACCAGGTCATCGCGCGCAAATATTGCGTCGCCTTTGCCCGGGAAAGCACTAGAGAAAATTCGCGTTGTTCGCGGCGCGGTCGTTTCCTGGCTTCGGCGTTGCAGCAGCGGGCAGCCGGTGTTCGTCGAGCCTAACGGCTATTAATATTGTTCGCAATTCGGCGGGAACACATGCAAACGGTAATATCACGCTCTGGAATGCCAGATACGATGGCTTTTGTACTTGAAATTCGACGTTTGGGAATTATCTCGTCGATCTTATCGAAGTTAAATAGAGCCGACTTGCAACAGATTATGTGTGTGTGGCAGGCTATTTTAGACAAGTAGATTTACCTGTTGGCACATTCGATAGATGTTACGAGTTTGTTCGCAAGAAAAGTTTCCGTGAAAAGCACGCGATCCTTCGGTCTTTCTGTAAAATTTAATTTAATTTGTTTACAGTAATGTCTCTCTAATTGACGCTCGGATTGTCCAGAAAAATAGACAATTTTGGAAGAGGAGATACGATTGTTGCAGCATTGTGGCTCGTTTTTTATGATGATCGATTGTCAACGACTATAAAAACGAGCCGCGAGGCTCGAATAATCGTATCCCCTCTTCCCAAATTGTCCATTTTTCTGCGCAATCCGAGCGTCAATTAGGGAGACATTACTGTAATATGAACGGGACAAATGTCCTTTCGATTTCGCGACAAAAATTCAACGTAATAACACACAATGACGAGAATAATAGAATAATATGAAAAATGAGAATATATATGAAAACAATATGAATAAAATATTCTTCCGATAACAGTACGTAGTTGATTTTTATATTTATTAAAATCGTCAATGAAGAAGTCAATGTGCAAGTGTTAGTCAATATTCTTCCGATAACAGTACATAGTTGATTTTTATATTGATTAAAATCATCAATGAAGAAGTCAATGTGCAAGTGTTGGTCAAATCGAGAATCCTATTTTCACAGATCATTGTAGAGAAAAACGAGAGACATTCAAACTCTGTGGATCCTCGTGAAAGATCGCGGATCGATAAATTAGTCAACTTGGTTGAATGACATTTTTATTAGGAGGACGTAAAATAGATCATGGTTTCTGGATCATGTCTTTTTTTAAAGAAGGTTCACATTTTTCTAGCACAAAGAAGTACATCAAATTTAAACGAGAATAAACAGATGAAACTTTATTTAAGAACATCAACGTACCATTTTCTACCGATTAAGATGATCATAGGAGGAATATAAAATTCATTTTCATCGTCTCTTTTTTAGAACTGAGACGGACAATTGTTTTATTCCGCCCAAGCATCCTCTGTGTCCGGTCGTAAAAAGGTGACACGATGCTCGTAAAATTCTGCGATTTCAAGTACAGTTGCACAATTGTTTCGGCGAACACTTGTTACCGTGTCGCGCCGCTTTCGAAACTTTCGATCGTCACGATTTCTTCGATGTAACAGAAACTTCTCACGAATTGCCTCGCACTCGTGCGTCGTTCAGCGACGAGTTTACCAACCGGGTTCATAAGTGCGAAGCGCGCGTTGTCCACGGGGAACAACAGCGAGTGATTTTCGACGGTGGAATAAATGTTGCTCCGATCAGCGATTCTAACGATCGATCCTTTCAGATCCAATTTATCAGGAGGTCGCACAAGGACCGGGTTTAAACGGCCGTCGGCGGAAGCGTGTTGAAGCGACAGGAGGAAAAGACAACGCTCTCTCTCTCGCTGCCCGGTGCGGGAGATATGAACCGCCGGCATTAAGCGCGCCGTTTCATTGGGATCGATGCAGCGCAATCGTTCACGCATCGGCCGTGTCAGTGAGCGATCGTACACCATCCGACAGGTACATCTGCCCGTCCGGCGAACGAAAGGACACTTTCTAAAACGAGGGATTAGGATTTTTCGCGAACCCGAACGGAGACGTCTCTCGCTTGCTCGTTGCTCGCCGTCGATTCCAGCGAAAGTGGTCGCGCTTCGAACGCGAATTACGCGATCGTTGTCGTACATTACGGTAATTTCTCCCAGAAGTGCTCGGAGGTCGGAATTGAAGCCGGCAAATCCGAGAGTACTAAGTCGCGAGGCCCGAAGAATCGCGACTTGGTATTCTCGGATCTGCCGATATATTGTTTCTAAATTCAGTCGGCAAAAAATTATTGTACAATAATCTATACCGTCTAGATCAATTTGAGAAAGTCTCCACTATAATCTCCCTGAATCATTTCCAATGAAAAATATTTTTCAATTGGCAAAAGTGAATCTTCCACCTTCGGTTTCGAAGGTGGAAAATCTCTGCATTCGAACGTCTCTCCAGGGTCTGAAAAATTTTTCCCACGATTCCGATTACCACGATCTTCAAGATCAGAGTCTCCTCTTTCGAACGAAGTCAAAATTTTCGATCTACGATTTTGTATTCCTTCTTTATCGCGGTCCGAAGCGACCAAGGTCGACGCTGCGGAAAATGAATTTTGACAAACTTTCGATTTTAATTGCAATCCTTGTTAGCTGACTTTTTTATTTCTAATTTTTTGCCAAGATTCGAAGGCAACTCGGAGGCCACATGTCACGGTTCCCAGCAGTAAATTACATAGGCGTAGGACTAGCACAGAGAAATTCGCAGCCACCCGAAATTTGGCATTTCCGGGAGAAATTATTGTATTTTCTTGGCGCTGTCCCGCCGAAAGTTTCTCTTTCGTCGAGAAGAAAGATCGAACAGAGTCGAACGATTTCACGAGTTTTTCGGGAACTTCGTTGCACCGGGTAATTTATAACACGTGCCCGGATACTCCGGAGATGAATATATATTTATGGAAATGCTCGTCGTCGACGTTAAAGCGCTCTCGACTCCTTAAGAAACTTTCTTCGGGAGAGTATTTATGACGCGATTTCGATCTTCCCGTTAAGCCGCCCGTGAATTATGCTCGCTTTCTGCCGAACGTTCTTGACGGGCCTGCCGCGATACAGGGGAGAACCGACACCCTGGATTTCCTGGCTGTTGCGCAACTTTTTTTTGCGCGCGTGTCGATTTTTATTTATTCTTTTAACACTCGACGGGCGTAAACCTTTGTGCATATACAATGATCGTGAACGTACAGGAGTACAGTAAAAATTGTCTGCAATTGTCCCTCGGCTTGTAAATAAAAACGGACGATTTCGTTCGTTTTTATAGCCGTTGACAATCGGCGACTATAGAACGAGCCGCGAGGCTCGAATATATACTAAATTGTCCATTTTTGTTTGCAAGCTGGAGGACAATTGAGGAGAATTTACTGTACATGCAGCAAACGAACGAGAACGTTACCGAATACAGTGGGATAAAAAGAATAAAAAGGATAAAAAATGTAGCATAAAAGAGAAGAAAGTACAAATAAAGGAGAAAAAAAGGTACATACAGGAACAGGGAAATTGTTGTAGGTAGTCATTAAGAACTTAATTAAGTCTGTTTTAAACGATGCCGTGTTGCCAGTGAGGAAGCCAATTTTCATAGATCGTTTGATAACTAAACCAGCCGCTCTGTTAATTGACAAGACACTTTAAGTGGCAATGGACACTCGGAGCGTCTAGATGGAATGTTATAAAGTTGATCGAGGCTGTTAGTCTAGGAACATTCTTCTTGCACGATTTTATGTAGAAAGCTAAGGTGCAAAAGCTACGCTGTGATTCATGATCAGTGGGAGATACAGTAATGTCTCTCTAATTGACGCTCGGATTGTCCACAAAAATGGACAATTCGGGAAAAGGAGATACGATTATTCGAGCCTTGCAGCTCGTAATCGGTAATTATAAAAACGAGGCGCAACACTTACTGTATTGGTTGTCCCTTTTTATTTTGCATTTTTTCACTAGAACCGATTCAAGCGGCCGCATAAGCTTGCATATGGACATTATGAAACTAGTTAGAGCAGACGTTTAATTTTCTTGCGCCATCTGAACTGTAAATCTTAAGCGATCGATTCGATCGATCGCGACAACGACGATGCTTCCGACAATTCAATTAGAAATACTGTAATGTCTCTCTAATTGACGCTCGGATTGTTCATATAAATGGACAATTTAGGAAGAGGAGATACCATTATTCCAGCTTTGCGATTCATTTTTATAGTTATAAATTGTCCACAATTATAAAAACGAGGCTCGAATAATCGTATCTCTTCTTCCCAAATTATCCATTTCAGTGGACCTGTCTCTTATACACATCTAGATGTGTATAAGAGACAGGCGTAGCTTTTGCACCTGTCTCTTATACACATCTAGATGTGTATAAGAGACAGGCGTAGCTTTTGCACCTGTCTCTTATACACATCTAGATGTGTATAAGAGACAGGCGTAGCTTTTGCACCTGTCTCTTATACACATCTAGATGTGTATAAGAGACAGGCGTAGCTTTTGCACCTGTCTCTTATACACATCTAGATGTGTATAAGAGACAGGCGTAGCTTTTGCACCTGTCTCTTATACACATCTAGATGTGTATAAGAGACAGGCGTAGCTTTTGCACCTGTCTCTTATACACATCTAGATGTGTATAAGAGACAGGCGTAGCTTTTGCACCTGTCTCTTATACACATCTAGATGTGTATAAGAGACAGGCGTAGCTTTTGCACCTGTCTCTTATACACATCTAGATGTGTATAAGAGACAGGCGTAGCTTTTGCACCTGTCTCTTATACACATCTAGATGTGTATAAGAGACAGGCGTAGCTTTTGCACCTGTCTCTTATACACATCTAGATGTGTATAAGAGACAGGCGTAGCTTTTGCACCTGTCTCTTATACACATCTAGATGTGTATAAGAGACAGGCGTAGCTTTTGCACCTGTCTCTTATACACATCTAGATGTGTATAAGAGACAGGCGTAGCTTTTGCACCTGTCTCTTATACACATCTAGATGTGTATAAGAGACAGGCGTAGCTTTTGCACCTGTCTCTTATACACATCTAGATGTGTATAAGAGACAGGCGTAGCTTTTGCACCTGTCTCTTATACACATCTAGATGTGTATAAGAGACAGGCGTAGCTTTTGCACCTGTCTCTTATACACATCTAGATGTGTATAAGAGACAGGCGTAGCTTTTGCACCTGTCTCTTATACACATCTAGATGTGTATAAGAGACAGGCGTAGCTTTTGCACCTGTCTCTTATACACATCTAGATGTGTATAAGAGACAGGCGTAGCTTTTGCACCTGTCTCTTATACACATCTAGATGTGTATAAGAGACAGATCTGAGCGTCGGTAAGGGAGACATTACTGTACAATGAAACCTCGTCTAGTTCGCTTTCTCGTCGCAATATCGACTCGATGTTCGAGGAGCGCAGTCCTTGGAACTGTAAACTGCGTACCGTTTGCTTAGGAGACACTGCTAGAACTTTATAAACGATGCTACGGATGATTCTGTCTTCAAGATAAACTCGTTGGAAGCGAACGAACATCGAAGTGCCGATTCACGCAACACAGATTAGATATTCAACTTCGGGGGCACACAGGCGCCGCATCGTTGGAAAAGTTTCGAACGTTTCTCGCCGCTCGCGAGCAACGTCGAGGAGGCTCGAAACTTCTACCAACAATCCGGCAATAATATCAGGTCATTCGATAAGTAATGTCGCGACTCCTCTTGCTTGAAATCATCGATGAGGCAACTGTTTGTCGAAGATACAGGCGTAGGAACGATCAATGGAAAGAGCACAACGATGGAAAAACGCGATTACGATCGCGCGCCGCTCGTCGAAAGTCTCCGCAGAATGAATTATGTTCGCGCGAGGAAACAAAATTAATAACGCGCGTCGTCGGTTTGCGCAACGTTTCCCGGAGACTTCGGAGCGATTGAAATTAAATTGTTTTCCTCTCTCGACGATGCTTCCGACCAATTAGGAATACAATGAACAGTAATAGCAGCTGTTTTATGTCGGTTTCGATGACATTTTCCGCGTGCACGGTCGATCGTCGAGGTCTACGAAACGCGTTGTTTAAATTTCCGTTTAAAACAATTGAGTAAATGCGAGTCTTTTTTATATGTTTTTTTTGGCACTCCAAGTGATCGCAAAATTATTTAAAAAATGTATCTTAATCGTTGTGCGGTGAAACAGTTCTTCTGACATCTCCGAAAGCTTCGAGTGATTCGGTTTGAGAAAAGTTATTGCGGTTCTACGGTACTTTGAAATACGTTTTCCAATACGTTCAATACCTTTTTTGTACCTTCTTTTGTACTTCAATACCTTTTTTACGCACTGTATGTACACGATCTTTCGACAATACGTTGCGATTAATTGAAGAGAGATCGTCGGCCGTGTTCCGTGAATTCGAATTTCAGCGAGCGTGCGAGCACAGCGAGCGCAGAGAAGCCAGGGATTTTCCCTGAAAAATGGAAACTGCGAAAAGGAATACGCCCGTCGGTATTTCACTCGCGCGCGCGTTCCATTCGCGTGAAGCAATATGTGCGTGGCGGCGAATGGCGGGGCGGCGGCAGACCTTCTCCTCTAAATATTGGTTAACGTCGAGTGTATTCGAGAGTGCTTTGTCATCATTTAGCGACAAGTAGATTTGAACCGGCGAGCGTCATTCCGCGCCGTCCTCGTTCTACCGTTCCACGGGCGACCGGCTCGCGGATATTCCGCGCGGATCAATCGATAATCAGCTTTAAAAGGAAATTCGACTCCTCTGTTTACGAACCCCTCCGACGCCTCCACTTGTCAGCGGATCGGACGGTTTTTCCCGTCAACATCGAATTTTCCGTGTTTGAACTGCGAGAAAAGATCGCGATCCGAAATGTTCGAACCCGAGGCGCGAACCGAGCCGGTTAAATCCCCTCTTCGCGAGTTCGCGAAACCCTGAATCCTCTCGTTAAATAATTCTGGCTTTCTTGTCGGCTTCACCTTCGCAACCGTTCGAATAATTTATTATTTGGAGCAAATATTCGAGGCTCGATCTTGGAAATGTACGCCGACAAATTTCAACCCTTCGCTGTCACGCTGGGTCGAGGTTAATTTAACAATTAATTGAGTACACTTGGAAGTGAGATATCGAGTTCTAACGACGGAAACTATGTTCTAGAATGTTCAAATTATGCCCTGAAATTTTTGGATCTCTAGTTTTTTTAGCGAGAATAGCTTGAAAATTGCACGACACAAGTGCTGCGCGTAGAAAGCGTGACAGCGGAGGGTTGACGATCGAAGAAATAATTTTCCCAGATCGTTTCTGGCCCGATAATGAATCCGTTTCGCAACGATTCCCGTGCTCCCGCAGGAAATTATTCGAAACGTTTGAATAGCAGAGCTAACCGGCGGGGGAACTTCTGTTGCAGGTTCTTTTTTTCTAGGTTTTCAGCGTTTGTGGTATTTGCGGAAGAGACGTGGGTCAAGCCAAAGTAAACCAGTGATATTTTTATGCAGTATTTTTCTTCCATAATTGAAGAGAATAAGAAAAGAGAGACGAAGGGATATAGAGGAAATCGTTTGATCGAGTCGTACCGAGAGCGCCGACAAACGGGGGGATAAAGGAAAAGAGGAGGAATATTTTATTGGAACGAATAGCTTACGTCGCATAAAAGAGAACCCCTGATTTGTTTTTTCGACTCGAGCGCCGACATCGGCAGGTTTTCTTCAACATGGTAAGTACGAAACCACCGAGATACACGTAATTAGTTGTTTAAGGAGTTGTTCGAATTATTAGACTCCGTTTAAGAAGTAAACGACACACTTGATTTTTCAGAGATAATACCCCAGGGAGGGTTCTTTATCGTCATTTCCCTGCTTCGAGCATCGAATTTTGCTAAAATACTTTAAAAGCGAGGTACATAAATGGGAACGCTTAAATATTTCCACTAATTATGGAAAAAATGAAGGTAAAGTTGCGCTATTCCGAGTGCCACATGCAGTGGTGACAAGAGTTTTATCTCTAGGTCTTGTCTCTGCGAGATTCAGAGGTAATTCGTACGTTTTAAAAGGAACTTTATGCTTCCCTTTTTGACGTTCCTGTGAAGTATAACAAGTCTAACCATTTTATCTCTCGAGATACTTTGTGTCCGAAGCGGAAGTATTTCACATTTTCAGATATAAAAATCTGGAAATTAAATGATCAGAGTAGATCAGGGGTGTCAAACTGAAAAGCTAACTTGGGCCAAATAAACAATGCTTGACTTTAGGTGGGCCGCAAAGAAAAAGGATCAATGTTCATAGAAACAAATATTTCTATTTTGACCAGTACATTGTAATAAACATATATAAAGTTAAATTATTGTTTACGTCCTGATACTTGACATCTCTTCTCTGATACTATCTTCCCTATTTCGGGAGAAATTTTATTGGCCGAGACTATTTTCAAAATTTCTAATCCACATTTCTATTTTATTTTTACTTCGCGTCGGATACATCGACTGGGCCGCAAAAATGTTCATCTCGGGCCGCGAGTTTGACACCCCTGGAGTAGATAGTCTTTTTATACTCTACAAGGACATCCGGGAAAGGACAAAAGGTTTCATTAAAAACAGAGGACCTTGAGAAAAGACTTCTTTATCACCGTCACCGAGTGTGCCCCTCGAAACAGTGCAACTGTAACAATTAATTTTTCCATACAACCAAGAGCAATAGAACTATTTAAACGTTTCTCCACTTTTATGCCGCGGCGATGAGCTTGTTCGGCTCTTTCAGCCACCTCGATGTCGATCGAACGCTCGCTATTGTGGATTATCGTTGAACGGCTTTTTGCCCAGCGATCACAGAGTCTAATCATTTGCGCACCTCGGTCGAGAACCGTCGAGAGCGCGGATCGCTCGAGAATCGTGGAAGATTTCGCCGGGGTTCCAGGCCAGCGGTCGCTTGCGACGTTCGCGTAAACGCCATCGCTGGAAGATGAAGCGGGCTTTAATTACGCGGAAAAGTCACGGGGCTCTCATCGGAGCGTTCAATTTATATCAGCGCGGACAGCGTCGCCGGTTGCGCAATCGTTTCGCCGCGGATCGCATCGACGCCGGCTCCGGTCCATCGCGTTTAATTATAATTAACGGACTCGATGGCGCAGATTGATCCTCGCGCATCGTTCCCCGACGATCGTCCGCTCATTCTGTTACATTTAACAATCGTAATTGGCGTCCGCGCTCGGCCTGGAATAAGTTCTCCCACCGTCAGGTTCGCCGATCCCCGTTCTCGTCGATGTTCCCTCCTCTATTTTTCGCCGAGACAATTAATCATTTCGCGAACGATACGATTATCAGCGAAACAATTACGGCGATTTATTTGCACGTGTAATGAGGCGATTATGTCGATCGAACGGTTATCTAAGGAAATTGCACGATTAGAGGCACGGCTCTCGTTGTGTTCTTCATCGAATCCGACGAATTCGGATTTTGACATTAATTTGGAAAATTAATTTGGAAAATTAATTTAGATGTGTGACAAGTGCAGATGAAATTTCGATGGTCGCGAAGCTGCGGCGACAAACGACAATCAGGGAGGGATGATTATTTGTATATGATTATATATGATATATATATGATTAACATTTTTTTTGCCCCATTCTGTGATCGACTCTCAATGATTTTATAGCATCAGGAATTGTAATGATAAAAAGATCAGACACCAGTCATTTCTACCGGTTTGATAATTCTAGTGTTAACTAGGTTTTAAGAAATTCATAATTTAAATGCCCAAGCGCAAAACAGCGAAACAGGATCGCGCTAATTCTGTTATGTCGTAATTCAATTTCGCGATTTAATTAAATGGTGTTTCAATTAAATAGTAATTTAACCACGTTGCACATAATACAGTGACGTAATTCGAACCTTTCGGTTCATTCGGTTGTTAATTATTTTTAATCACGAACGCGATTAAAGTACAATATAATTGAAACACGGTTCTTCGAAATTACAGTCCAGGTCTTCGATGAAGCGAGATACATTTTTATGTTTTTCCCTCGCACATTTTTTCACTCCTCCGCGTAATTCTCTTCTCTTATCGCCTATTAATTTCTTATCTTTTTACTTCGCGATTCTAATTCGCTTACACCGTAATTCGTCGATCGGTGTAATTTAATTACTTAGCATTTCGTAAATCCACTCCTATCGCAATCGCGAATTACAATCGTAATTTAAATAAACGAAGATCCGTCTTACGACGCGATCGAATTATAATTAATTGAACTATTTCGTAATTACAATTCCTCGCGTAATTCAAGCGAGAGATCCCGCGGATCTGCGCGGTGATTCAAAGCGATGCAAAGAATTTCAAACTGCTGCTTGTAGTTAAGCTGAAAAATCCGCGGCCCGGCAAAAAAATTGCCGAGTTTCCCGCGAAACTAGCAGCTCGAGTCCCTAATCGCGGGCATCATGGCTTGGGCTCCTGTTTAAGACAACCACGCGAGCATCGGATAGATATCCGCGTAGATCGTTCGCACCTCGCGACTTCGAAATTCCGACGACGGAAGATGGCGTCGGTTGCGGTTTCCGAATGGTTCCCGCTCGTCGCGATGCTCTCGCTGTCGCGGAAATGCTCGCGTGTACAGCGTGTTCACGATCCGCCGGCGCTTCCGGCTGATTCATTGGTTAATTTGAGCGGCCGCGGAATTCCGGCGCGAATTCCTCCTCGCCTTCTCCCCTCGCACCCCTCGCTCCGCTCTTCCGCCGGTCCAACGTCTTACCTTAGCCCGCCACCAAGAAAGTTACAGTTATTAGAATAGCCGTAGGGGCGTCGGATAATTGAGTTTCGTTGTTGTTGTTGTTGTTGGCAATCGACCGGCAGGAAGTTCGATACTTCTCGAGAGGCCACGCTTTGTTGTTCCGTTCGAGGGAAACCCCATCGCCTGCCTCTGATTCGCCTTTGAAGCTCCACCTGAACGATTGATATCGTTACGGGCTCCTAACTATCCGACGTATCCCCCCTCCCGCCCCCTCTTTCCGTCGGATATCTCGACGTGTCTCGCGACCGATCGACGTTTTAGCTGGACGAACGTTCGTCCCGAGTTCTTCCAGCTGCGGTAAATTCTCCCTAATTTTCCCCTTCAGCTTATAAATAAAGATCGGCAATTTGCGAAGAGGAGATACGATTGTTCCAGCTCATTTTTATAGTGGCCGATTGTCGACGATTATAAAAACCAGGTACAAGGCTCGAATAATCGCATCTTCTCTTCCCAAATTGTCCATTTTTGTTTACAAAATAGAGAAGAGAATTGATATAAATAAAAATAGTAATTATAATATATATAAATAATAATAAGTAATTATAATATATATATAAATAATATATATAAATAAAAATAGAATTATCAGCGAGAAATTAGGGAGATAATTAGCGATTAGCAGGGATAATTAGTATCATCTAGCAGAATTCAGCTTTTAAGCGTTTTCGATTTATTAACGAGGAACGCCGACCAATAACAGACGATCTCAGCTGGCGCAAGGCGCTCATTGGCTAGGCCGCCTCGCGTCAGCTGATCTCGCCTCTCATTGGTCACTGTTTTTCCTTTAATAGTTCGCGTAAACAAAGCCGCGGATTGCATTTTCGCCGAGGAAAAAATTACTTCGAACGACCTCAACAACCCCTCGTTTCCCGGAAGTACCATAATTTCGGGACGCCCTGTACAATGACCGATGCGATCGACCAGGATCTCACGTTGCTTTTATCGCAAGCACAGTCCGTAGCGTGTTATTCGACCAGCAGAATCGTGTTACGTCATCATTCTACTTCCGATGAATGCGTATCGTTCAGCTAGATCGTCGATTCGTCAGGCGGTGCGGTACGAGACGTTTCCGGCTCGCCGTTCCAACAGCCATTGTTGCAACAGCCCCGACCTGGAAGGGGCGGATTCGCGGGAACTCATCGGAAGTTTGCGTTCCTTTGTCTGTTTTCTCGGCGAAATCGTATCGGCCGCGGAACTTTTTCCTCGAAATTAACGGGTTCGAGTTGCAGACAGGCGCGCGCGGCGCGGCGTGCACGCAGCATCCGGTGCACCGGGAGAGCGGATCTGACGTGCGAAAACAAAGCAAGAATGTTGCATGTTCGTTCGTTCGTTCGTTCGTTCGTACGTTCGCAGCTACGGCTGCGGCAAAATCGAGTCCCAGAACGCGGCGCGGGGGCTTTCTCTTTGAGCAGCGCCGCGCTGGTTGCAGCCTCCTGCGTCTCTGCTGCACCGTTCGCTCGTTCTACCTGCGCCGCGTTTTCATTGCATTCTAACGGTCGTTTTCTATTGCCTTTGCGTTCTTCTTTTCCGAGATTGTAATCCCGGGATCCCGGCGTAACTGACAGCGGTGTAATTTCATCGACGTTTATAAGCGTTCTTTGGACCGCTTTCCTTTTTTTTTTTTTATTGCGAACCTGTTGTCGCGTCAAGTTCTTCGCATCTTTCAGCGTTTAATCGATTCGCGTTGACATTTTCGATTTACTTTATTTACCCGGAAACCTGTCGATAGAGAGATTTAACCACTTAGCCGAGGCGCCTCCTTTTCAGAGCGCGCACCTGTGTGTGTGTCGCGAGAATCAAGCGACGACGAGTATAAAATATTGGATCGAAAAGACGATTTTATTTGATGAAATTAACCATTTTATTATCGATACTTATTTATTCACTTAATATCAATGTGTACTGAAAATACGTGACAAACGAAAAACGCAGGAGAAG